CCTCCGCCTGCCAGAAGGGAATTGCTCAGTCACCTGCACCCAGAATAGGACTTTGTCCCCGTTCCCATCATTAATTTATTGCCTGCGAATTAGTGGGGCCCTGGAGACGCGCAGAGCCCACCTGTTCCCTCGCCCGGCTCTGACATTTGGAGCCTCGGCTGCAGGTACCGGCACCGGCAAATGGTCCCATAAACCATCCGCTAACGCGGCGCTGCCAACGTGTGCCCGCCCTGCTCCCCTCCCGGGGGCTGTGGGGAGCACCCAGCCTGGCTCTGGGGATGGACACAGACAACCAACGCCTTTTTAAAGAGACCTTATTCTTCCCTGGAAAAGCAGCTTTAGTACAGCTGTGGGACGCTCAAAGGGGTGGCACAAGGCACCCCGCTTCTGGTGACCAGGCATGGCACGCGTGGTGCCAATCGACAGCAGCCCCCACCCTGTGCCATCCTTTCCACAGAGGCTGTGTTTACACCAGCACAGCTCCATTAACCCAAACACACCGTGCTGCTGCAATCCTGGACACCAACCAGATCGGCCCTGAACACTTCCCTGGGAAACGCATCATGTTTTGTTACAGGGATGGGAGGAGGGCGGTTTTAAAGCCACCACTGCTGTAATGCAAGAAAATTACCACGTAGCACGTGGGGCTCTGAAAGCTGCACTTAATATCCCACACCTTTCTGAATCCTTTGTGTCAAGACAGTCCTGGAAAAACAGTAGTTGGTTGGGGTCTGCAGCAGGGACCAATCCCCCCACTCCTCCCCTTGGGCCACCACCCCTGCCTGGGTGCTGAGTGCCCTGTCCCCTTCCCAGAGCCCCTGGCAGGACCAGCACTGTGCAGAACCCCACTCTGCCTCCACCTGTCTGCCTCCATTTTTGGACACCTGAGCCCATGTCAAGCACAGTACTTCTCCACAACTTTCCAAAAAGAACCCAGGCAGGAGCGTTAAAGAGCCCCTCTTAGTGTTCCCATGGAAATAAAAGCTACAGGGTGGTCACAGACAGCACATCCACATCAGACTTAAACCTACAGGAACCTCAACGTTCAACCTCTCTATTTGTCCCTCATAGCACATGGAGAGCAGGAGATTCCTTGCTAATCATAGGAAAATAAAGAGTTTTTAATGAATAACCTGTAAACAATCCCTAGAAGAGAGAGGAAACTCTTCATCTAAGGCAGCCTTTGCTCCAAGGCTCCACTACAGTGGTGCCTGAAGCCACCCCAGCTCACACTGAGCTTTCCAGAGCCACTTTCCACATCTCCCAAAGCCATAGGGACCTGCTGCAGGGGCAGGAATAACCTGGCTGAGCAACCTGCTGCTGCCACAGCGCTTCTGCAGAGCTCTGCACTGTTGGGTGGAGGAGAGACAGAGGTTTGGGATGAATCACACCATGATTTCTAGGCAAAGTCCCATTAATGGAACCTCTCCGAGGCACTGCGGCTCCGAGTCAAGTACTTGGAGCTGGAAGCCGTATTTATGAGTGAGATATATCCACAGAGGGAGCAATAAACTGCAAAGCAAAGTATGAAGGTTTGCAGAAAACGCAGTAAAGTTTTACACTCTCGAAAACCGGGAATAAAAGATGGACCCATTTAAAGCAGAGTGGATGGAAAGGGTTTGCACAGAACTGTAAAACAGCCTTGTAACAGTTAATTGCTACTTTCTTGTTGCAGCCCAGAGAAATTCAAACCAGGAAAAGAACGGCTTAAATCCCCATCGAAGAGCGAGAGGCAGGGAGAGGAGCGCAGGGAACGGGAACCTTTGTTCGGGATCCTCTGCACCACGCGGAGGAAGAGGCACCTTTTGTTCCTGGCCCCGGCTGCTCCTGCTCCCCTCTGCGGGCAGAGCCTCCGGGGAGCGAGAGCCGCGGGGAGAGACCCTGGGTGGGGGCCCAGCAGCGTCCCGGGTGTTAATTACTTGTTGTTTAACTAAGATCATATCAATGCCCGTGCAACAGAGACTCAGACAAGCATCTATCCCGGGTAGAAAGGGGGCAGAGGGAAAGGCACAGCAGCGGGTGGAGTCTTCCGACCCCGACAGAAACCTTGAAGCTCAATACATAAATACACGGAAAAACTCAAAATGTTTTCTGCAACAACCAAAACAACCAGCCCACACACTTTGAACCAAACCTTCCAAAAGCATCAGCACCCAGTGCTGCCCCTAAGGGATCCATATCCCTACCACAGCGTCTCCCCAGCCCAGCATCCCTCTGCACGTGGACCCACCCTTACAGGTCCAATAATGCTCATGACAGAAAGCTGTGGAGTTCACAGAAAGTCCCTGAGCAGCTGTTGCACTTTGGAAAACACGTGCACATTATCCTTTAGGAGCACAGTTGTCACCACCTTTTTTTCAAATAACCAGTGATTCCAACAAAAGAACCATTTCTCCCTTCCCCAATAAGTATCTGAGACTGGATATTTGCTTTTTGGGCTTTCTTTACATGTACTGCAAACACGAAGGAGAGGAGCAGCTAGAGCTCAGTCCAGTAAAACCATGTGAAACAGAGACAAAGATGCTTCAGTCCCACCCTCAGAGCACACATGCCCTCCCCAGCACCCTGGCTTACCTCTCTCCTGGGACAGGGAGGCAGCAGGAGGGCAGGAAGGGTCTCCGGGTGTGCTGCTGCAGGCTGGAGGGCTTCAGTGCTGCCACTGCCGAGCCCAGGGCTGGCCCTGGGGCTGCTGAGGCTCATGCCCAGGTCCTGGGTTGAGCCTGGGGCTTACCCAGTGCTCGGGGCACAAGCTGGCTGCTCCCAAACTGGCTCTGGGACACCAACAAGAGCTGTACTGGTGGCAGAGACCACATAGAGCCTAAACCATCAATGCCTTAAGGCACTTCGAGTGCCAAACCAGTCCCTCCCAACCTCCCCTGCCCTTTATAACCTCCCAGATGCCACCCAGGTGAGGGGATGAGGCCAAGCTGATGACCTGGTGCTGTTCCAGCTGGGAAGGTTCCCCTCCTCCCTCCCCAGCCTTCTGCCGGGGCTGCTCTTTTTTTTTTTTTTTTGTGTGTGTGATTTCCCCTCCCTGCAGTGGCAGATTTTGTGCATTATCCAGGAAAGCAGAGCGATGTGTTCCTCGGTGTAAACATTGAGGTGCTGTTTCCATCCATCAGAGCAGCACTTAGGTGGAGATGACAATGGAGCTCACACAGCCCTAATCACACACTTTGATTGAAATGAGAGTAGGGGGGAAAATGGAACTTGGATGCCTGGAGCCCAGCTTCCGTGGAGCAGCAGAGCTGTCTGGGGGGCTGCCACCAGCTCGGGGGTGGCTCTTTGGGCTGACCCTAATTGCAGCCTTCCAGTGCCTGAAAGGAGCCTGCAAGAAAGACAGAGAGAGACTATTTACAGGGGCCTGGAGTCACAGGACAAGGGGGAATGGTTTCACATTCATAAACAGTAGGTTTAGATTAGATATTAGGAAGAATTCTTCCCTGCGAGGGTGGTGAGGCCCTGGCACAGGCTGCCCAGAGAAGCTGTGGCTGTTTCATCCCTGGAAGTGTTCAAAGGCAGGTTGGACGGGGCTTGGAGCAACCTGATCTAGTGGAAGGTGTCCCTGCCCACGGCAGGTGAGGTTGGAATGAGATGATCTTTAAGGTCCCTTCCAACCCAGGCTATTCTATCAGTCTACGATTCCCAGGAGCAGGCAGTGCCAGGCTGGTGGTGAGGACAAGGCTTGCCAGCCCCAGGATGCTCTGCTACCCCTGCTCAGAAATACCCCAAGACCTCTGGGTGCAGACAGTTTGTACTTTTTTCCCCAAATCATGTCACTCAGTGAGCAAAACCAGTCTCTAAGGACTGGAACATAAGCACTGTGCTGGCAAATGTCCCAGGGTCAGCTTGCCTGGCTGATGGGGCTCTTGTGGGGCTTTAGAGACCGTTTTAGCCCCGTGTCTCAGCGCTGCAGTAGCAGGGAGGGCTGGTTGTTGGCTTTGCAGTCAGAAGAAAACCTCTTTACTGTGTTCATCTCTCAAGCTGACGTCCTTTTTACGCCTCTCATCCGCAGCAGAAGGTTCGGCAGCGGCGGGTCTGGCCGCGCACAGTGAGGGGGTTTGTGAAGCAAACGCACCTCGGGATCCACAGTCGCACTTGGAAGTTTGACGATGATGCGGCGGCTCCTCCACCGTCACTCCTAATGACAGATCTTTAAAAAAGCAAAGGCCAATTATATAGATTCAGAGTCGGTAATGAGCCTAAAACTGTTTGATCATTTCGGCTCCCGCTGGGCGAGCGAGAAGCGGATGAGCTGCCGCAGGGACCCGCCAGCACGAGAAGCGCAGGGCTCTGCTGCCTCTTTGTGGCGAAGGAGGTGTCACCACCGTGTGCCCTCTGTGCTGCTTGGGATGGAGGACGAGGGGCTCCTGCGGGCTGCAGGGCAGGCTGGGACCCCATCGGCATGGGACAGGCAGGGGCACAGGGTTCAGAGCCAGCTAAAGAGGCAAAACCCGGGCACCGAGGCTGGGAAGATTCTGGTTTCTGGTGCTCAGAAGTGAAATTGCACTTTTCCAAGGAAAACCTAAAACAAATGAAAGCAACAAAATTATGGAAATGGAGTGGAAATTTTGGCAGGTGCTTCTCATGGATGGGCAGGGATAGATCCTTCCTTCCTGCACGAGAGACTCCAGCTGTCCTCTGCCAGGACATCTAATGGCCTTAATGCCCTGTGCCATGTTCCTGAACACACTGACTTCCATCAGCTCTCAGGAAGCAGCAGTGTGGGACAGAGCTTACAGGGCTGCCAGGCAGTGACTGCCAGCGACACCACCTCACACTGCACTCCTTTAGTGCTGTCAGTCACTGTGAAGCCAGGGATGTGCACTGTAATCCCAGGAATTGCCATTAATTGTGGTCACTCATGCAGGCTGGGGGGCTGCTGGGGAATCTGAGTTATTATGGAAAAGGCAAGGCTCAGCAGGAAACTGGGGAGCAAGTGTAAGTCCTGCGGATGAATGCGTCCAGCCGGAATCTGGAGCAAAGGACACAGGAAGGACAAACAAACTCAAAGTACAACGTGGGATGGGCGGAGCGGGGAGCAGAGCTGGCTCTCGGCAGGATGGACGCACCAGCAATCTTCACGGAGGCGGATTTTTACCAGCAGAATTTCGACCCTCAGGCATATCTGAAAGAATATTACAGCATGAGTGACAGCCGGGAAGGGGCAAATGTGTTTCTGACGCAAAACTTGAAGAGCCTGCACAAAATGTTCTCCTTAGGTGAGCACTCCCGAGGTGTCCGGAGCCGTTGGACGGTGCCATTTGCAGGGCTGCCCTGGGGCTGCCAACAGCAGAGCATGTGCCCCAACATGGAGCAGACTCTGTGATAAACTGACACACTCCTGCTCTGTTAAAAATATCCCTCTGCCTGCATGCATGTGTCTGTGCATACAGGGAATTGCAGCTGGAGCTGTGCCTGTTTCTGGGAACACCATCAAACCCAGCTGGGGGAGGAGGGTGTGGGGTCAGTGCCCCTGCCCCAGGAGCCGGCACTGCTCCTGCCACAGGCTCTGGACCTGCTGCAGGACTTGTCTCTGGGCTGGACCGTGGCCAGAGAGCCACAGGGGCTGTGCTGTGGGTCTGTGGCACTCGGGGTCACATTTCTGGGTTAGGGTGAGCACAGTCCGAGGGGCTCTGGGATGTCTCTGCCCTGGGGGAGGCTCTGTCCTCACTGGGATGGTTTTGCCCTGACTCTGCACCAGATGAGCTGAGAGGTGGCACCCTGATAGATGTCGGCTGTGGCCCCACCATCTACCAGCTTCTGTCTGCTTGTGAGCGCTTCCAGGAGATTATAGCCCTGGACTACACCGACCAGAACCGCCGGGAGCTGGAGAGGTGGCTGAGGAACGAAGCAGGAGCCTTTGACTGGGTGCCAGTGGTGAAATACGTCTGTGAGCTGGAAGGGGACAGGTGAGGCTGGTGTCCAACCACAGTGGCCATGGAGCCACAAGCACAGATGTTAAATAACCACGGAACCTTCCTCTACTTTTTTGTGGATTTCCTTGCCAGGGAGAAGTGGGCTGAGAAACAGGAGAAAGTGAGGAAGAAGGTGAAGCAGGTTCTGAAGTGTGACGTGACCAGAGCCAACCCCACGGGCGCTGTGTCCCTGCCACCAGCCGACTGCATTGTCTCCACCCTGTGCCTGGAGGGCGCCTGCAAGGACCTGCCCACCTTCCACAGCGCCCTGAGGAACATCGGGACCCTCGTGAAGCCGGGGGGGCACCTGGTGCTGGTGACCGTCCTCGGGGAAACCTACTATGCCTTCAACAAGCAGGTTTTCTCGTGCCTCCGCCTGGAGAAACACGAGGTGGAGGCGGCTGTGGAGGCTGCTGGCTTTGAGGTGACGTTCAGCGAGGCGCAGCCGTACACGGTGAGTGAGGAGTGCATGGACTGCCAGGGTATGCTCGGCCTGGTGGCACGCAGGCGTCCCTCCGTGGAGTGTGAGGGCACGGGGGGAGAACAGCCGTGAGCCTGGGCTCAGAAAGTCCTGCTGGTGTAACCCAACCCTTTATCTGGCACCAAGTAAACTCCTGAGCACTCTAACCATGGATTTGTGTGGCACACATGGCACTGGCACTCCAGCAGCCCAGGCCTGAGGTAACCGTGCTGGCTCCCCCTGGCCCAGGGACAGGAATGGTGTCCCAGTCCCTTCCCTGCCATCCTTCCAAGCCAGCACAGAGCTTCTGAGAGGCTTCCCTCTCTCAGCTGTGATGTGCTTTTTGGAGAGCAAAACCCACTCCTATGGGAAAAATGTTTGGCCACAAAGGCAGTGAACTCGTCCCCACCCAGAACTGTTTGTGGGCAAGTCCTGCAGGCTCGCACCGAGAAGCTCTGGGGGGAAAGGACTCTGTGGAGGGCAGCAGCAGGCCCTGCACCCACCCAGCCCCCAGCAGAGCTGAGAGCACGTGCTGATCCTTTCAGCACACCTGTAATAAACAGTTGTTTGACCCAATGCTGCAGCCCTGGCGAGTGGTACCTGCCGGGCACTGGCACCGGGAGCAGGGCAGAGGGATTGCTGTTCCCAGGGCACCTCTTTTGCCCGCAGCACCACAGGCCAGACACAGTTGTCCCCCACGGTTTAAGACCTGTGACACACCAGAGGTTCATCACACAGATACTCGAGCCCAGCCATATGTAATAATCACTAATATTTGCATACTCAACGTGCCTCAGTTCTCAAGAGGGTTTCTTTTGGGTAAATGGTTAAGATTTGTTGCTGAAGGTCCCTTCCAACACAAACCATCCCACGATTCTATGACTTTGCATGAACACATTGTCCTGGGTACCTCCACCAGGCAAGGAAAGCAAGAAAGCAAGCCATAATTATATAAATATACAAAAAAGCAAACAAAATCCCCTGAAAAAGTAAACCACCAAGAGCCTTTTCTAAAGTTGAAATTAGCAAGTGAAATTGGTTGAAATCTCCCAGTATTCCTGAGTGCCTGCACTTTAAGAGTGAAAACAAGACAGCTAAAATGGGGTTTCCCCCCCAAATCAAAAATGTTTCTAGTTTTCCACTTTGCTCCTTCAAAGAGCAAAAAAGGCACAAAACAGTGACACAAAAAGGACAACAGAATTCCAAAAGCGAGTCTGTGAAGCACCTGAAGTGGTTCCTGTTCTCTGAGCCAGGCCTGAGCCCGGCAGGACCTGCACGTGGAACGAGCCCTGATGGCACACGAGCGTCACACGCTCCCAGCCGAGCCTGAGGGGAGCCGGGGAGGGGAAAGAAGGCACAGCAAGGCAAACGAGGCTCCAGGGAAATTAAGGCAAAGTGGAAGTCCTGGCAAAGCGAGGTAATAACTCCCTTTCTGAACGAGTGGCTGTTTGGGATTTAACCAGGCGGACGCGATTAATCCAAATGGATATAAATTCTAGGTGCGGTGGCGAGTAATGGGGTGGAGAGAATGAACGGCACCCAATTAACAGGGAAAGCAGAGCTGTGCTGGGACCTAATGAGAAATGAAGGCTCAACTGCCCCCTCTCGAAATTCCTCCAGATGGAAAACACCCGTTTTACATCCCGTGTCTTCTGGGATTCCCAGGGGATTACAGTGGCTGGGGAGATTCAACGGCAGGGGCAGGGGAACCGCTTTCCAAAGTCCTTGGAGAAGTGAAGTCGCAGGGAAGGGCGCTCTGACGGGATCCAGCCACGGGAGCAGCTGGGCTCGGAGGGAGAGAGGGGTCGGGAGCCCCAGGAGGGGACACCCAGTGTATCACCGCAGCCCTCCCGGGATTCAGGGCCTCGGCGGTTTCCCGGTCTCCAAACAGCCCGTTTGGGGGTTTTTAACCTGCGCCCCGGGTTTTAACCGGCTGGCTCCGACCCCCTCGGTTTCCCAACAGGAATAACAGGGAAAGGGGGAACGCCCGGCACCAGCCGCGCGGTGTCACCGCCTGGACGCAGGTGCTGTCACGACACCGGGACACGCAACACATCCACGATTCCCTCGCGACAAACGGGGTTTATTGCCGGTTGTTAGTTGATTACAGGTTATCAGTTAATTCCCGAGGCCCGGGAGGGCGCGGGGCAGCGGGGCGGGACTCCGCACATCCCGTGTCCCCCGGG